AACAGACAAGATTTATTTCTCCCACCCTGGACATTATACAAATGTATAAACCCAATTTTCCTAGTTTCCAACACACCTCACAAGCTCCTAGGATGCCTGCCGTAGATGCAGGTGAAACATCAGGAGAGAATGTATTGTTGAAGGCTTTCATGGCCGGAATCACTGGGTTGTTGTAGTTTTTACGGGCTATATAGCTATGGTCTAGAGGCATTCTCTCCTGACGTGTTGCCTGCATCTATGGCAAGCATCCTCAGAGGTAGTGAGGTCTGTTGGAACTAGGAAAAATTGTTTATATATCTGTGGAATGACCAGGGTGAGACAAAGGACTCTTGTCTGCTGGAGCTAAGTGTGAATGTTTCAACTGACCACCTTGATTAGCATATAATGGCCTGACAGTGCCTCGAGCAAACTTTTGTTGATAGGTGATTAGATGTCCTTGTTTGTTTCCTCTCTGTTGTTGTGCTGTTGTAATTTTAGAGTTTTAGGCTCCCATGCCCATTTTTGCCTGAAATTTACCTCCAATATTTCTAATTTTCTAGAAAAGGTCTCTTGTCCTTTCTATTCTGTTGGGTGCATTACAGCCCCATCATCCCCAGTCAACACAACCTCACAAATGGGTGTGATAGGATGTGTAGTCCAACAGAGTAAGCTGCATAGACTTGGAAGGTTTGTGCCCTCTTCCTGGTTTAAAGTGCACTGATTAGCATTTATGCAAATATATTTTCATGTGCCACCAGTCATTATTTTTCTAAGAAGTCCTTAAGATTTAGAAAGGTAATCCTTCACAATAGAGTATCTCATGGTTTAACAGATCGCAAATACAAATGCAGATTTATTGGACATGCCCAAAGCTCTTAATTGGGGGCAAGTTCAACAGATAAGCTGGTATTAATGTTTGAAACATACCAAAAGAAGTTGAGAGTGCTCTACTGTGTGGCCAAATGCAATATCAATTCCTGCAGCTGTTTCTCCTCTGCAAAGTGACGTCAAAGTAGGGTCACTTGTAAGTGGAGATGGTTTGGAAGGGAAGGGAATGCTTAACCTTTTCCCTCCCATACCAGTTCCTTCTGAAACTTCTTACTACATTATTCTGGAGAAAAAGCAGCTGGGCGAATGCCAAACTGTCCTCATAAAGGGTGTTTTACAAGGGAGAATAATAAAACCATAGAATCATAGAGTTGGAAGCGACCTTGTGGGTCATCCAGTCCAACCCTCTGCCAAGAAGCAGGAAAATCAAATTCAAAGCACCCCCAACAGATGGCCACCCAGTCTCTGTTTAAAAGCCTCCAAAGAAGGAGCCTCCACCACACTCCAGGGCAGAGAGTTCCACTGTCAAACAGTTCTCACAGTCAGGAAGTTCTTCCTCATGTTCAGGTGGAAGCTCCTTTCCTATAGTTTGAAGCCATTGTTCCATGTCCTAGTGTCCAGGGCAGCAGAAAACAAGCTTGCTCCCTCCTCCCTATGACTTCCCGTCACATATTTATACATGGCCCTCATAATGCCTCCTCTCAGCTTTCTCTTCTGCAGGCTAAACATGCCCAGCTCTTTAAGCCGCTCCTCATAGGGCTTGTTCTCCAGAACCTTGATCATTTGAGTCGCCTTCCTCTGGACACCTTCCAGCTTGTGAACATCTCTCTGAAATTGTGGTGCCCAGAATTGTACACTGTACTCCAGGTGTGGTCTGACCAAGGCACAATAGAGGGGTAGCATGACTTCCCTGGATTTAGACACTATACTTCTATTTATGCAGGCTAAAATCCCATTGGGGTTTTGAAGGGACAGGAATTATATTACACCCCATTTCAGTGTGGTATCTCTTTCAACCCTGTTCACAGAGTTTCACACTTGCTTTTGCATTTTAATGGACTTTATCACTATTCCATATTGTTGGATAATGACTATCATGTTCCATTGTAGCAAATCAAATTAAAAAGTTTCCAGCTTTGCTCTGCAGTTTTCAGTATTACTCCTATCTTTGCTTCTTGTCTGGATCTTATTAAAACAAACCATCTTTATACAAATTCCAACTGTTAAACAACTGTTAAAGATCCAGGTTTCTTGCCTTCATTTACCTTTGGTTTTTTTGCCCCTCTCTCTCACCAGGAGTTTCCTTATTTACTACTTCATCATACTAGAGCAGTGTTACTCAATCAGGTTCAGGACATCTGGGAAAGTCATGAGGGGGTGCCAGAGCAGCCACCACAGACCATCAGAAAACAGTATGTTCTGTTGGTCATGGGGGTTCTCTGTGGGAAGTTTGGCCCATTTCAATCATTGGTGGAGTTCAGAATGCTCTTTTATTGTAGGTGAACTATAAATCCCAGAAACTACACCTCCCAAAGGTCAAGATATATTTTCCCCAAACTCCACCAGTGTTCAAATATGGGTATATGTGCCAAGTTTGGTCCAGATCCATCATTGTTTGAGTCCACAGTGCTCTCTGGGTGTAGGAGAACGACAACTCCCAAACTCAAGGTCAATGCCCACCAAACCCTTCCAGTATTTTCTGTTGGTCATGGGAGTTCTGTGTGCCAAGTTTGGTTCAATTCCTTGTTGGTGGAGTTCAGAATGCTCTTTGATTGTAGATGAACTATAAATCCCAGCAACTACAACTCCCAAAGGACAAAATCAACCCCACCAGTATTCAAATTTGGACATATTGGGTATTTCTGCCACGTTTTGTCCAGTGAATAAAAATACATCCAGCGTATCAGATATTTACATTATGATTCATAACAGTAGCAAAATTACAGTTCTGTAGTAGCAATGAAAGTAATTTTATGGTTGGGGGTCACCACAACATGAGGAACCGTGTTAAGTGGTCGCAGCATTAGGAAGGTTGAGAAACTGCACTAGAGAATGAATCCACTTTTAATTTGGTTTCTGCCTCCTGCAGAATTCTGGGGTTTGTAGTTTATTTAGTTAGGCTGTTAAAGGCTCCTCCCAAAACTATAAACCCCAGATTTCTGCAGCAGGCAGCAGCTAGATTTAAAGTGGATTTATTGTCTAGCATGTAAACTACATACTTTTGGTTTTGTCCCTCAACTCTTTTATAGCATTTATCAGGTTCTGGGTGGTATCAGAGAAATACCGGTTCTGAATTCACCTGTGATGAACAAGGAAAGATTTCTTAATGTCTGAGGGCATCAGAAACATGAATACATTTGTGTCACGTAGAGGAAGGGAGATATATATAAGTATACAGAGCATGCAATGTGCAATCATGGAGACAGGTGGCTGTCATGAAAGGGAGGAACAACCCTCTTCTTTTTAAAAGTTAAGCCCTGTGTAACACTTGCTTGCATCAACATTTTCCAAGCAAGACTGTGCAGGCGCTCACGTTTCACAGCGCTTTTCCTCCAGGGGAAAATTGTGTTCCATAAACATAAAATCAGCGAAGCTGTCAATGGGGAATTTGACTGGCTGAATTTGGTTGGATGTGAACTGCATGCTTAGTAACAATGTCAAAACAAGAAGAGAGTCCTAGTTTAAAACTAACAAATGTATTACACCATCAGAAAATGTGGTCTCAGCAACCCCAAACGATCAGTTTTTTTTTTTTTGGAAAACACTGCAGAAAAAAAAGCCCCTCTTCAATCCTCCTAATAGCACTGTACAGTCTTGAAAGTGCTTTCAGGATCCTAGAAGTTATTTTGGATAAGGCCAGAGGGTGTTTTATTGCAAACGGACAGACTGTTCCAGCATGCTTTGGGAGAACGGGGAACACCTCCCTTCAGGACTCCTGGTACCTTCAGTTGTGCTCCTTATTCTAGAAAGACGTTCAAATTATTTAGTAAACTGTGACTTCCTCCTTCTTATTCTGGCGTGGGGGATTCAGTTTGCCACATGTATTTTAAGAGCAAGGATTTGAGGGATAACGTGATCTCGAGATATCTCCCAACTTTGTTTATCGTAATAAGAACGGCTGAAAAGTGGCCAAAACGGTTTGAGGAACTGAAGCCCAACACCAGTTGTTCTACATCAGCATTTCCCAACCTGGATGTTGGGACCCCTGGGGGGTGTCATGAAGGGAGTTTCAGAGGGATCACCAAAGGCCACCAGAAAACACATATTTATTTACGTCAATTTTATCCCGCCCTTTTCCGCCCAAAGGCGACTCAGGGTGGCATTTCTGATGGTTTTAGGATCCCCTTTGGCAGAGCAGGCTGAAGATCTCTCTGTGTGGGATGTTTGGCCCAATTCTATCATTGGTGGGGTTCAGAATGGCAACTACAACTTCCAAATGTCAAGGTCTATTGCCCCCCAAATCCACCAGTATTCACATTTAAGCATGTTGAGTATTCGTGCCAAGTTTGATCCAGATCCATCATTGTTTGAGCGAACTACAACTCCAGAACTCAAGATCAATGTCCACCAAACTCTACCTGCATTTGCTGTTGGTCATGGGAGTTCTGTGTGCCAAGTTTGGTTCAATTCTGTCATTGGTGGAATTCAGAATACTCTTTGATTGTAAGTGAACTATAAATCCCAGCAACTACAATTTCCAAATGACAAAATCAATACCCCCCCCCCCCCATTATTCAAATTTGAGCGTATCGGGTATTTGTGTCAAATTTGGTCCAATGAATGAAAATACATCCTGCATATCAGATATTTACATTATGATTCATAACAGTAGCAAAATTACAGTTATAAAGTAGCAACGAAAATAATTGTATGGTTGGGGAACTGTATTAAAGGGTCCTGGCATTAGGCATTAGGAAGGTTGAGAACCACTGTTCTACATAAATAGCTATTCAAAATATGTTTATGATTTAATCCATGAGATCTTCAGCACACTACATAAAACATAGTAATCACAATGTACCTAGTTACATGTACCTTTTTAAAATAAACAGATTCAATTTTGGTGCCCCCCCACAAATGACAGGATGTTTCAAGAGGTGAGTTTCTATTTTCCTAATCTTTTCTGTCTCCATGCTGTTCTTCAAAAAGCAGAAGGTCATAGACAAGGTACTTCATTTCTTAGAAATCAAGACTTGAGAATTTAAAACGAACCTTTATTGATGGGCAGACTTACATTAAAATTCACATTTCAATTCAGTGCTGAGAAAGCAACAAGGCAATGCAAGGGACAACATTTCACAATTTCAAAACAGTAAACAGTTTTGTTTCTGTGCAAATCCGAAACACACTCTCATGCACTCGTGCAAAGGCAACCATTTATCACCCATTGGTTAAAAGCAATTAAGTGCAACACCAGTTTCCAGTGGTCCTATTTCAGCAAGACAGAGCGGCAGTTGCTCAGAAAAATCAACAGATCTGGAACATCTGCCACGTATACATCAGTTTATCTCCTACCAAGACCTCTGAAAGAAGTTAAGAGCAATGCCTTCTAGGACTTCTGCTTTTTCTTCTTCTTGCACACAGGACACATTACAAATTGAGCACATATGAACAAAACAATAAAGCTTGAGACATGACTTTATAGCAGTCTCTTCTCCTTATCCATTTCTCCATTATTATAAATGGTTGAGGACAAAGCTGTGGAAGGTTTGGCCCTCCAGATGTTTTTGACTTCAACTCCACAATTCCTTACCTTTGGACATCCTGTCCTGTCCAGTCCTTCTGGAAACTGAAGTCACAAACATTTGGTGGTCCACACGTTCCCCACTCCTGTTTTATGATCTGGTCCCTTGTTGGGTACTTTTTTTGGCATTTGCTAACGTTGTTCATTTGTATCAACACAAAAAGCTTAGATCTTACTGCTGTAAAGTACAGGATCATTGAATAAAGAGGTATTTAAAAGAACATTCACCATAACACATAACTTGAATTCTGGCTACCCATGCCAACTCAGTGCGGTTTAAAAGTGGCATGCCTACAGAGTGCTTATGAGGTTTTCCAAATGGCAACAGTGGGCAACTAAGTAGGAAAAGAGAAGCCAGCAGAAGATTGGAGTGACCAAGCTGTAAGAAAGCTTCCCATTATCACATTTTAAAAGGGAAGAAGTATGTCAAAGACAATTCCTCTAATACTGTTCAATACCTCCACCTACAAAAGAAGAGGTAGAATCTGGTACCAAGAACCACACAGAATTTGCTTCTCAGATTATGAAAAATTATCTCAGCCTTATAGGCCTATCTCTATAGTATGAATGGAGTAGAAAAATTAGGAAAGGACTAGATATTCAGCTCATCTCTTTGGCTTTGGACTTTTTTAAAGCTTAGTCATCAAATGCTAAGAGTGAACAGAATCATGAGGATTGAATGGGTTCATGTATGGAGTTATCTAACATTGTTTTCTATTGTATTTATTGGATTGCATCAAGTCAACTGGATCTGCAGTTGTCAAACAGCTGATAAAGTTCCCTAGTCATCATACTGGCTGGTCTTAGGAAGTATTATCCCAAATAGCTCCAAGCAATTGCTTCACCAGCCATGTTTTTTTTTATAGAAAAGATTGAGATCTGAGTAAAAATCCTAGAAAAGTAATGGTTTGAATTATTATTTTAACAAGTTGAGAAGTAGGATCATAAGAGAACAATGCTCTTGTTTTTAGAAGTAGACTTGAGGCAGATCAAACATTTATGGGAACATAACCAATGTGTCCTTCTAAATCGAAGTACCTATTGTTCCACATCAGTCAGTCTATGGCAGTGGTTCTCAATGCTTGGTCTTCCAGGTGTTTTGCACTTCAGTTCCCACAATTCTTAATAGCGGGTAACATGGCTGGGATTTCTGGGAGTTGAAGTCCAAAACACCTGGAGGATCAAAGGTTGGGAACCGCTGGTCTACAGACTTCACCACCACATTTCCAGATATCAGAGAGAATCGCACAATGCAGTGAAATGCAGTGTAGTTGTTTCGCAACTCTTCGAGCAAATAGATATGCTTCATATCCTCAAGCTGGATGACAACCCAATTCGAATCTAAGGCACTCATAACTCAATTCGAATCAAAGGCACTTGAATCTAAGGCAACCTAATTTGAATCTAAGGCACTCTGGCCAAGTAAACTGTTACTTGGTCAGAAAGACCAGCAAAATAATTAAGTAACTGTTTGTCCAAAATCTTAAATAAACTGGCATCATCCCAAGATAAAATGTATCTATTAGATGCCATCATTGCTGTTTCAACTATCACCTGGAAGCACCATTCCTGTTACTTTAGCACGCATACCTAGGTGGACACCTTGCCAGTTGTTCCCCAGAGGATGTTCTTTAGAAACAAAAGAAATCCAACCTTAGAAGAAGGCAGAATAACTTTTAAGGCATCCAATATGCAGAGGTAACATTTAGTACAACTTCTAGCAGTAAGCAGCAATCAGGCTTGTTAACAGGTTTGCAAAAGGGATGCTCAATGAGGAATGTTTCAAGTATCAGTAGCTGTGCTCTTTCCAATTCCACCTAGTGCCAGCTAGCAGCGTTGAGGTTTTGCCAGCCTAGGGAGATATAAGTAGGTTGTGCAAAAGTCAGCATCATCTTTAAAAAAATTAAGTCATGTTTCTAAGGGCAGTAGGCTCAGTTTTTAAAACTCGTTTCCTTTTTGTTCTAGCATTCTTCTACAACCGTCCCAATCAAAGAATATAATTTTTTCTTTATGAGCCGAAATCCAGGACTCAGGATTAGGGTACGCTTAGTGCTGGAAGTAAAGCAAGCTCTAGGGAAGAAATCCCTGAAACTAGGCCATGAGCCACTGTCCTGTTTAAACACCAGCGTTAGCTCAAACGTAGGAACAACAGCAGGGTCATACACAATCTTATCCAGCTTTTTACATACATTTCCCGTTTCCAGGTTGACATGAATAATGCAACCCCGTAAACCACAAGGCTCCATGGAAGACAGACGCAAGACATCCTGGGCTATTCTCCTGGTCAGTTTCTCAGGGACAAGAACCCTCGAGCAATGCAGTCTAGTTTGCTTTGATCGAGATAGGCAGCTCTCCAGCATCCTCACTAGGTTCTGACATGACCGTTCCTCAAACACCGTCTCATTAAAATTGGGTTCAGGCACTACATAATCCCAGTAGTCAAAGTCTGCAAGAGATGAGAGAAGGAGAGAGATTCTCAGTAAGGTGCAAGAAGCCAGTCAGCATCTGTAAAAACAAATTATTACATTTAACTGAAAGATCCACTATGTATATATTTTCACTCAATCACTGGCACGTCAGGGTTATGTCAAACTGCAGCTAAGTATACCAAATCTGCTGCCAACAAGTTCCACTTTGCATTCATCCAGAAATGCACCTTAATAAATTGCTTTTCCTAAAGTTACAAGAGAAGTTTAATGAAATGTGTTTTGATTGAAATGGAACCCTTCTGGCCGCTAGTGATGTTTATTTATAAAAACAGAAAAAAGAAAATGTCAGCAGAAACATATATGGACTTGGAAGACAACACAGTAGACCCTTAAGAAGCAGGTGACACTGTTTTCTCCAAGATTACATTCTGTTAGGCTGTCAAAAAGAGAGCCAAATTGCTTCATGTAGCTGCTCAAAGAAAAGAAACGTCTTTGCTTCACAATATCAAGGCCTGGCAATAAATATAACTTAATTATACTGATGAGGAAAATTAATTTTTCACATATCCCTTTGCATACTAAGGAGAATTACAGCACCACAGTGGTCCAATTGGCAACCTATAAACTTTTCCTGGACAGTAAACCTTGGGTTTTTATTGGATAGGTATATAATTTTTCTCTGATGCTACAAAGTGAGAAAAAATGATGGTTTCCTTATGAAACACATATATCTGTCAATATATTATCCTGAAACATCCATACATTGACTTTTCAATAAGAGTACACACAGCAATAAAGAAGTGGGTAGAAAAGGAGGAGGGCAGAGAATGCTTTGCTCTAATAGTTATAGTCTAGTAATTCATTTTTGGTTGCCAGAAGGCCCACTGAAATAATTGTCACCAAGGGTAGAAAAAATAGGTCTCCCAGATGTTGTGGGACCACTTCTCCCAGAATCTCTCACCATTAACTATGCTGGCTAGGGCTGGTGGGAATGGAAGTCCAGCAACACCTGGCGGCTGCATTAACCTCTACTCCTGGGATGTCTAGTATTTCTTGTTCAACTCAAAATGTCTAGTCTGGGTAGGATTGGTACTGGATATACCTCACAACTTTTAACAATAGATTATAGATCTCAGCAACTCAAAATAGACAGAAACTATGACAGTTATCATCCAAAGCTCTTATACAAATTGGGTATAGAATAATGAGCTCCTAAGATGAGAATGATACAAGTCATCCATCTCCATGGATCACCTACTAATATGGAAGACTCGGAAAGGTACAGAACAAGGGCCCCTTCCACACAGCTCTATAAAATCCTACATTATCTGCTTTGAACTAGGTTATATGGCAGTGTGGATTCAGATAACCCAGTTCAAAGCATATATTGTGGGTTACTCCGCCTTGATATTCTGGGTTATATGGCTGTGGAAAAGGGTTTTGAGTTGAGAATGAAGCAAGTCATCCATCTCCATGTATCGTCTATTAAAATGGAAGACTCAGGGCCCTTCCACACACTCATATAAGACAGAATATCAAGGCAGAAAATCCCACAATATCTGCTTTGAACTGGGTTATGTGAGTCCACACTGCCATATATTCCAGTTCAAAACAGATATTGTGGGATTTTCTGCCTTGATATTCTGTTATATGACTGTGTGGAAGGCCCCTCAGAAAGGTACAGAAGACCTTCCTTCTGCTATTCACTCAGGGCCCTTCCGCACAGCCCTATATCCCAGAATATCAAGCCAGAAAATCCTACAATATCTGCTTTGAACTGGGTTATCTGAGTCCACACTCAGATAATGTGAGATTTTCTGCTTTACTTATATTAATAAACCCAGGTTTATTAATATAAATAAGCCTTTCTCAAAAGTTATGCACCAAGGATTTACTAAGCATGGATAACAAATAGCAATCTTTCAGATGGAAAAGTGGTAAAAGAATGGTAGTTGCTTCCATGGCATGCTAGGTTGTCTCTCCCTAGTTTCTCTCCTTCCAAGAGCAGACAAAGACCACCTTTTTATTTAGGGTATCAACTGTTTGCTGTGGAAAGTAATAAGAGAGGAGATGCACCTACCACACCAGGATAATGTTTCTAAATGAAACAAAAGCATTCAGCTAAAAAGGGTTCAACCTGAAAAACATCAGGATTTCTTTTTAGCCAACTCTTTACTCACCAACTTGAAAGTCACAGCAAACAGCAACAGAGATTGTGGTTACTGAACACAGTAACTGGAAGCTAATAATACATGGATTACTTTTTAGTAGGGAAAAAGAAGACAAGCAGGGTCCATGATGGTTAGTATGTGGATGGGAGACAAACCAGGTGTTGTAGGCTACATTCCAAAGAAAGGAACTAAAGAAATCACTTCTGAATATTATTTGACTATGAAGCCCCATGAAATCCATGGGATCACCACCAGTCGAGACACGAAGGTAAAAAGGTAAAGGTTTCCTCTAGACATTAAGTCTAGTCGAATCTGTCCGGCATTGTCCGTAGACACCTCCAAGGTCATGTGGCCGGCATGACTGCATGGAGTGCAGTCCGCCAAAGCGGTATCTATTGATCTACTCACATTTGCATGTTTCTGAACTGCTAGGTTGGACTTACTTGAAGATACTAACACACAAACACAAGGAAATGGCAATAACAACTCACCTGTTATGGCTGCATGCTGGAAATGTTGCTGTATCAGTTCAGAGATGCAGGTAGAGTTTTTGTTGTTTAAGCTGCTGGTTGCAACCATTCTGAAGAACAGCTGCTCACTTCACGTAGGTAGCAAGTGTATCTTTCCTGGTTTACTGTGAGAAATGAAATTTGTTTTAATTGAAAGACTGTCAGAAGCAGCAGAAGCCACAGCTCAGCTAAAACACAAAAATAAAAAAAGACTGTCAGAAGCCAGGAGAGCCAGGAGTTTGGGCTCGACTTTCTTATGTCTCTTCTCAGAAGTAAATCCCCACTTGTTTTAGTTAAGAATTAAAAGGTAAAGTTAAAGGTTTCCCCTGACCTTAAGTTTAGTCGTGTCTGACTCTGGGGGTGGTGCTCATCTCCATTTCTAAGATGAAGAGCCGGCGTTGTCCATAGATGCCTCCAAGGTAATGTGGTCAGCATGACTACATGGAGTGGTGTTACCTTCCTGTCGGAGGGGTACCTATTGATCTACTCACACTTGCATGTTTTTGAGCTGCTAGGTTGGCAGAAGCTGTGGCTAAGAGCGGGAGCTCACTCCGCTCCCCGGATTTGAACTGTCAATCTTTTGGTCAGAAAGTTCAGTAGCTCAGTGGTTTAACCCACTGCACCACCAGGGAACCCAGCTTTACACCAGGGAACACCAGGTTTACTCCCAGCTAAACAGGTTTCAGATTACAGCCTTTAAATTATGAGAGTGGGTCAAAAAGTTTTGCCTCCCACGTCATAAAAATGTTATGAATGAACATATAACAGCAGAAGTTGCTACAAATCATAGCCTGAACGATCCTCTACACAAAACTACCATTCAACATAGTTACCACCTATTTGTACACATTTGTGCCATTGTTTAACTTAGGCATCAAAACCATTTTGGAAAAATTCAGCGTTTTGTTTCCTGATGCATGATATCAAAGCTGTTTCAACGTCATTCAAGTCATTGAATCCGAAACCATGTAGGTTGCCTTTCAGAGGTCCAAAGAGGTAAAAATCAGAAGGGGCCAAATCATAAACATGCTTCAGGCGATTATGGATTTCCTTAGGTGCACATTAACCTTCTTTTGCCAGAAATTGAATTACGACTCTTTCATTTAGCTTCAGATTCATGGTTCTAATCAGTCAATTGGAAAAAAGAAAAGACCATATCAGTAGAGCCAGGTTCCCTCTAGCATATTATGCATAGATAGTCCAGTAGCTGGGAAAGAAAGAAAAGTTAGAGCGATGGAGGCATTACTTTTTGACCCTTTCTTGTATTTACAATCTAAGGTGACGAAGAGAAACAAGAGAAACAACTGGTAGTTGTAAAAACCCAAATACTTTGAAAAGTTACATTTTAAGACGAGAACAAAACTTCTCCCAAGTTTTTTCTTGATTGAGAAACAATCCAAACAATGGGTTGTTGTAAGTTTTTTGGGCTGTATGTTCCAGAAGCATTCTCTCCTGACATTTTGCCTGCATCTATGGCAGGCATCCTCAGAGGTTGTGAGGTTGTGCTTGATTAGTGAAAGAAGATTTTAGCACTTATGGTAATGATTGGACTCGGACTGGATTTTAGACTCTGATTTTAATAGGTGCGTGTTAATTGTTTTAATTATTGTTTTAATATTTTTAATATTTTAATGCATTGTTGATTGTTTTATTATGATAACACCGTATGGTGTTTGTGAGGCCGCCCTGAGTCCCCATTCGGGGGTATAAATACAGGAAATAAATAATAATGAATAATAATTGTGTCACAACCTCACAACCTCTGAGGATGCCTGCCATAGATGCAGGCAAAACGTCAGGAGAGAATGCTTCTGGAACATGGCCATACAGCCCAAAAAGCTTACAACAATCCAGTGATTCCAGTCATGAAAGCCTTCGACAATACAAATCCAAACACCAAACAAGTAATAACAACACAAGTAGTACTTAACTATTTATTTATCACACTGTTGAATATACATGTGAAGACAGTAGCTGCTGAAAAAGAAAGTGCCTGCATCTCTAATTAGATAGGAAAATGAATTATTTACAATCCAGGCTGCAAGGAGGTAAAAACAACAGGGAGTTTGAGAAATCAAGCCTTTTTTCCCAGTTAACACTTTCAAAGGAGAGCAAGGAACTGATCTCACCTGCATGGATTATTAAATAGAGAGAAAAATGGTAAGAATATAAAACACATACTTGGAACAGAAAGGGTGGGGGGACGTCTAGACGAAGTTGAATCCAACCGAAACTTCCACCCGCGTCGATTCCCCCCACGGATTTACTACGAGAGCAATTCACACAAAGCTATATATATATACATACATACACATGTATGCAGAGCCGCCTCCAGCTTGACACTTGGCAAAGGATGCYCCCTTCTGATTGGCTGCTCCCGCCAAGTGACTTTTAGTCCAGCAGAGCAGGCAGCTTCCCTCCTTGCAAAAGGGGTCTGAAAGGGCAGCAAGGAAGGAGGGAGGGAGGGAGGGAGGGAGGAAAAGAGAGAGAGAGAGAGAGAGAGAGGGAGGGAGGGAAAGAGGGAGGGAAAGGGGGAAGGGAAGCTCAAGGGGCCCCATTGGTTCACTTGGAGGTCAGGAAGTCTAACAGGAGGGGAAGAAACTGTGCTCACCTGGCTCTTGGCCAGGTATGGGCAAACTTGGGCCCTCCAGGTGCTTTGGACTTAAACTCRCACAATTCCTAACAGCCTACAGGCTGTTAGGAATTGTGGGAGTTGAAGTCCAAAACACCTGGAGGGCCCAAGTTTGCCTATGCCTTTACTATAGAATTAATGCAATTTGATACCACTTTAGCTGCCATGACTCAATACTATGGAATCCTGCGAGTTGCCCTTTGGCAAGGTTATTTAGCATTTGAGTTGTGAATTTTCCGGGCTGTATGGCCATGTTCCAGAAGCGTTGTCTCCTGACGTTTTGCCTGCATCTATGGTAGGCATCCTCAGAGGTTGGAAAGTTGATTGGAAAGTAGGAAAATGGGGTTTATATACCTGTGAAATGTCCAGGGTGGGAGAAAGAACTCTTGTGTGTTGGAGGTAGGTGTGAATGTTTCAATTGGCCACTTTGATTAGCATTTATTTATTTATTTACCATATTTATATATCGCCTTTTTCATCCCGGAGATGACTCAATGTGGTTTACATTCGGCATAATTCAGTGCCCCCAACAACATAAAATATAGTTAAAACATTAACATAATATAAACCATATAAAAACAATAAAAGCAATAAAAACAATAATACACAAGTCCTCAGCGTCTCATTACTAAAATCATTGTCCAGGCATTCCATGGATCTAAATTAGCCTGTTACACTGCATCTGCAAATGCTTGCTCAAAGAGCCAGGTTTTAACTCTTTTTCAAAATATTAGGAGGAAGGGGGCTGATCTGATATCCCTAGGGAGGGTGTTCCATGGCTGAGGGGCCACCGCTGAAAAGGCCCTGTCACTCGTTCTCGCCAGTTGCATCTGCAAAGGAGGCGGGACCAAGAGCAAGGCCTCCCCAGATGATCTTAGAGTCCTAGATGGTTCATGGGGAGAGATATGTTTGGACTGGTAAGCTGGGCCTAGTAGTTTCAAGGTGCGGTTTCTTACTGCCTGCGGGAATCCTTTGTTGGGAGGTGATTAACTGACCCTGATTGTTTCTTGTCTGGAATTCTCCTGGGCAAAAGTATGATAGCTGGGACCCTACGGTGGATCTGAATTCATGAGGGGAACATGTGTGCGAGACAGCGCAGTGAGGGAGAGACGCAGCTGCGTCAGAGGCGTGGCAACATTGTTCACCAGAAAGGAGGAGAGGGAACATTTCTAACCCGTTTAGCATCTTCGTAAGCCATTAGTTATCATTTAAGATTAAATAAGTCTTACATTACTTCACCCTTATCCTCTCCCACCTGAATTAAATTACTTCACGGCTATCCTGTCGCAGCTGCATCTCTCACTTGCTCCATTGTCTCGCACACATATTCTCTTCATTAATTCTGAGCTGCATTGCACAACTAACATAGCGTAAGGTCCCAGCTATCATACTTTTGCCTTCCCCCGTTTTTGAGTCTTTATTTACAGTCCTGATTTAAGAGTCTTTTAATACTGATAGCCAGATTTTGTTCATGTTTATTATTTCCTCCTTTCTGTTGAAATTGTCCACATGCTTGTGGATTTCATTGGCTTCTCTGTGTAGTCTGTTGTGGTAGTTGTTGGAGTAGTCCAGCATTTCTGTGTTCTCAAATAATATGCTGTGTCCAGGTTGGTTCATCAAGTGCTCTCCTATGGCTGATTCCTCTTGTTGAAGTAGTCTGGAATGCCTTTCATAGTCCTTGATTCATGTTTGAGCAAAGCTGTGTTTGGTGGTCCCTATGCAGACTTGTCCACATCTGCATGGTATACATGGTATGGTACTTAGCATATTCTGCTAAGTACTGCTGATGCTTCACCAAACTATAACTTCCATGACTGACCAACTGCAACAACCATGACTGAGCCAAGTCCCAGCATTGAGCCATGACTGTTAAAATGATGTTACGCTGCACTGCTTTTACAGTGCAGAATATGCACCCTTGGACTCAGTTGACTTGGAGCCCTTCAAACAGGCCCTATATTCCAGGATCTGATCCCAGGTTTTCTGTTTGTTCCAGATTATTTGGCAGTGTGGACTAATGGAATCCAGTTTAAAGTAGAAAACCTGGAATCAGGTCCTGGGCTATAAGGCCTGTCTAGACGGACCCTTAGGCTGCATCTACAGTGTAGAATCAATGCAATTGAATAGCACGACTTTGACTTCCATGGCTCAATGCTATGGAATCCTGATAGTTGTTGTTTGGTGAGGTACACTTTGGCAGAGACAGCTAAAGGCCGTGCAAAACCTTGGAAAACATAATAGGGGTGCTATAATTTTTTAAAATCTGATGAATTTTAACTAAATTTTAATACTGATATGCTGTTATGTTTAATTCTGTTTTAATGTTTGCATATTTGTATATTTTAAATTATGTGGTCATACTTTTAATTGTAAGCCTCTTTGAGTCTCCTACGAGTGGGGTAACATGGCATATAAATAAATAGCAGCAGCAGCAGCAACAACAACCTACAGCTTCCAGGATTCCATAGCACTGAGCCTTGACATGCAAAGTGCTGTTAAACTGAGCTACGTTCTACACCAGGGATGGACAAACTTTGGTCCTCCCGGTGTTTTGGACTGCAACTCCCACAATTCCGAACAGCCAGCTGTTAGGAAATGTGGGAGTTGCAGTCCAAAACACCTGGAGGGTCAAAATTTGCCTATGGCGGTTCTACACTGTAGAATTAGTGTAGTTTGGCACCACTTTGAGACCTGCTTTAAGACTTTAAAATAAAGAGAGAGAAAACAGGAAGGAAAGAGACAAGGAAAGACATTTAAAAGAGGAGGCAGAGATTGCTATAAACCAAGCGTATTTTGAAAAATACAATTTTCTTGAAGATAATATCTGTAAAACGCACTTTCCTGCCTAGCTAAAGCAGTTAGATTTTCTGACTGTTGAACAAGGGATGATGAATGCTTATCTTTCTAACCTTGGACTGTAAGTCTTTTTGCAACAGTACAAGGATCCAACCTTGGAACCTTCACATCTGTTAGGTTTATCGGTGAAAATAATCCCTCTCCCACAATGTGTGTGTGTGCAATTTCAATCAAGATTGAAGCAAGGTATGGTAGTGTTTAATATCCTTAACCCCACATAGATGATAATTGTCTTTATCTGTGCCCGCTATTCAACAAAATTGTCCCTCCTTGTGCCTATGATTAAACAATGATTTTTTTTTAAAAAATGGATGTACTACTAGTTAATGTATATCACCTATTGCATAGCCCTTGTTCTTTAGGTGCCACAAGACAGCTGTGTTTGCCTTTACTAAAAGCTAATACATTTTGTTGTTTACCTACTAAAGATATGAATCGGAATGAAAAAAGTATAAAAATAATGTTCTCTCCATTCACTACTTTTTGATTTCAAGTCTGCTACTTTTCCATCCATTTTTCAAAAACATGTGGGGCAGAGTGAAATTTAACCAATGGAGATCTAAGAAAAACCTCTTTTTAATCTTGCTATTAGAACCAGTGTGATTTATCCGAATGCCATTCCAAACTAGTAAATGTGTACAATGAACATGCAGATGTCAACTTCTGTTCCTTGTGTGATGTTGTTTTTAAGAACACACTCAATTTGACCCTTTAAAACATTGGTTGCTAACCTTTTTTTGACCAGGGACCACTCGACCAGGGATCACTTTGACCAGGGACCACATTGACCAGGGGCCACTCTCCAACATTAGTACCAAAAGGATTAAGAATCAGTTTTTAGTCAACTTTAGATTTGGTTTGGTTATTTAGGATGCTGGTTCGGAAAATTGCCTTGGATAGACCACATCAGCTCTAGTTTCTGATACAGAACATATGCCATCCAGTAGTCGCCATCTGTTTGCCCACAGAAAATCATATTTAATAATCTAGAGCCATGGACCTTATTTTAGGTCTCGTGGCTCACAGGTTGGGAACCACTACCTTAAAATAACACAGCCTAATGCCTCAGAGTGTTTGCACTAGGGGTCCTATCAGTGTACATTGTTATAATGCTGTTATTCCACTTTAACTGCCATGGCAACATTTTGTGGAATTCTGACATTGATAATTTAGTGAGAACCAAGTGCACTCTGACTGATCATTCTAAGGCATTTGACTTTCCCTACACTACACGATTCCAAACTAGGTTGACATGGCAGTTACGGTGGAATAATGGCACGATAACAGAGTAGTGTGATAGAACCCTAGGACTCTAAGCTATAAGGTTTTGAATTTTTGGATTCAAAACCAAATGGTTCCTTGAGCAAGCCTCACTTTCTAAGACAAAGAGGAAGGCAATGGCAAAGATCTGAACCAATCTTGCCAGGAAAACCCTATGAGGGGTGGCATAAATTGGAATCATTTTGAAGGCATACAATAACAAGAGAACAAATACAAACCTAAGGGACTCTTGTTGTAGTGGAACTAGGATTTGTAACATCTCAGTGCTGAGACTTTATCAGATGGGATTGCAATATCTGCACCCCCCTCTTCAAGATCAGTTTCGGGTAACCCTTCTGGTAGCTAGGGTTTGGACTGTTCCTCACTGTTTGATATCATTGTGAGCTATGTCTGTGTAAGCATGTAGTGGCAGATGCATGTTTCAATATCAGCGGAGCACTAAATTTACCAGTTAAACCACTCACAGTTGATCCCATTTTGGGACTTTAACATGTTTCATGGTTTCTTTGAGGCTGTGATGTTTAGCCTTTGGTCCTCCAGCTGTTCTACCCTTTAACTCTGAGAAACCTTGCTCATTATGGATTTTTAAAGTTGAAGCCCAAAACACCCAAAGGACCAAAGGTTGGGAACCTCTGTTTTAAAGTCTGAATT